GGACACAGCCCCTCTAAATCTCTGAGTAATAAAAGCCCGGCAGGAATATCCTGACCCGGCTGGTGGGGCTCTGGCCATTTCTCAGTTGTTTCCTGAGTGCACATTAAAAACACATTATCCTGTTTAATAGACTTATGAGCTGAAATGAATGTGTCAGGCTCTTATAAATATGATGGAGCCTGGTAACCAAGCAAGTGTTAAATTTTGCATAAGGAGACAGTATCCCTAACTTCTCTGTAGCACTTAATGACTACCTCGAGCAGACTGCAGGCAGCGGGCTCCAAGGCTCCGGATGAATTAAAAGGGATTTCATTCTATTACTATCAGGATTAGCTTCCCCAGACTCCCTCTCCTGCTTGCTCTCTCCCTCCTCTCTCTCTCTCTTTCCCTCTCTGTGTGTCTCTCTTTCCTCTCTGTCTCTCTGTCTCTGGCTCTGTCTCTCTCTCTCTCAGACATGGGGTTGAGCACAGGATAGGTGTTGTATATGCCTTGTGGAATGGTGCCCCTGTCAAGATACAGGCCTCCCTGGAACCTCAGAATGAGGCTTCATTTGGAAACTAGAACTCTGTGTGTGTACTTGGGTAAGCACTGGTCAAAGGGCCAAATGATGCAGTCACAAGGAAACCAAAGTCTAAATGACTCCTCTGAAGTCCACTCTGGGGAAGCGATGAGTTGACTGGGCTTATCTATAGGTATGTGCGCATGAGTGCGAGGTTATGACGAGAGGAGAAGTGAAACACTCCATCCTTCAGGGAAGCTCCTTAAGTCAGGAAGTAAACTTTAAACAACTCAAAATAGCTCCAGGAACTCCCTGAAACCAACCAGATTCACTAGGCCCCTCCCTCCTGAAAAGTAGAAAGCAGAAAGACTGCTGAGAATAGCTCTCAGACAGGCCAAGCAGACAGGAAGAAGTAGAAACCAGCTGAGCTGCCACCAGCAAAGGATACTGCTGAGCAGCCTGCAGTCTGTGCAGTGTGCTTCAAGTTCTCAGCTTTTGTGAGCTGTCACCCATGCTGGAAGTCAGCCACTAGCAAGCCAAGGACAGAAGCTACCCTGTCCTTAGACACTTCTAACTTCTAGCCTCCAAAGTTGGGGGTGGGGTGGGGAGAGGTATTTCCTCTACTTCAGCCCACCAGAGTGCTTTGTCAGGGCAGCTCACTCAGGTTCATGGGAATGCTGCATTGCCTTTTGGCTGGACCACAAGAAAAAGTGCTTCCCAAACCACTGCCTGCCTCAGAAAAGACTCAGAGGAGAGAGAGAGACAGAGACAGAGACAGAGAGAGACAGAGACAGAGAGAGACAGAGACAGAGACAGGAGAGAAAGGAGAGAGAAAAAAAAAGAAAGGAAAGAAAGAAAGAAAGAAAGAAAGAAAGAAAGAAAGAAAGAAAGAAAGAAAGAAAGAGTAAGAGAGGAAGGAAGGAAGGAAGGAAGGAAGGAAGGAAGGAAGGAAGGAAGGAAGGAAGGAAGGAAGGAAGAAAAGAAGGCAAGGAAGCAGGCCAAGTGCTATTTGAGTTCTAGGCTCACTTGGACCAAGTATAACAACACTCCAGAAACTGAAAGAGATTTGAAAATTCATCACCCCATAAGCAAGGATGTACATCTGCCCTAGCTGGCTGCAGAGAGCCCACTTCAAGAAAGGATATCTGATTACTCTCTTTAACACCCACAGTGAGAAGGAGCTCTTAGCTATCACCCCATCTTCACCTCCACCATCACCACCATCTTAGCCTTTTGTTTTTCAGCCTTCTGCAAAAATAAAATGTCATGCCATACTTTATTTTGTTTTCTTTCTTTTCTGATAGCACATTTTAATACCCACCATGCCTTATTCCCACCTTATTTTTTTATTTATTATTATTATTGTTTGTTTTGGTTTGGTTTTGCTGTGTTGTTGTTTTGGGGTTTTTGTTTTGTTTTGTTTTGTTTTGTTTTGTTTTGTTTTGAAACAAGGTTTCTCTGTGTAACAGCCCTCCCTGGCTATCCTGGAATTTGCTCTATAGACTAGGATGGCTTCAAACTCATAGAGATCCACCTGCCCCTGCCTTCCAAGTGCTGAAAATAAAGATGTGCGCCACCACCCCCCAGCACCCCTATCCTTTTAATGAAGTCTGGTTTATAGGCCAGAAGGAATGAAGGGGAAAAAACTCCCTCTTAACCTAAAGAGGATGATAATTCAAAATTATTGATGGGAGAAACTGAGGCACAGAGAATCTGAAGTGTGGTAAAAGCTACAACCCTCTGCCTTCCAAAAACACATCAGTTAGGTCGCACAACAAAACCAAAAGGATGAGGAGGGAATGGGTTGAGAGCAGTGGGAGGAAGATAAAATACGGTACAGGCAGAGTAACTGGAGTGTTATTATCTACACGTATGAAGCTGTCGAAGAACTTATGACAGCAGACACAAGCACACAAAAATGTTATATATTTTAAGAGGCTATCATTAGCCTTTGATGCTTATATACAGGTCCCAGATAGATACTTATATAGATATGTACATTCATACAAGTATTCACACATGTCAAAATGTTCTCTGCCAAACCCTTGATAAAAGCATAACGCTAGAATTAATCTAAAGGACTGTCAGTCATACAAGGTCATGGGCAGTTAAGAGTGCCTCATACAGTAACAACATTTGGTCAAGTTCAGAATCACAAGATACAAAACAATGGCCAAGGATAGCTGCAGTACTGACGTAGAAATCCTCAAAGGACACACAAGAACCAGAAATGGTCTATGGTAGGGGGGGTGAATTATAAGCAATTTGGGTTGGAAATAAAACCATTCTTTCTTTTTAACCCTTGCCATTACATCTGAATTAAAAGAAAGAAAGAAAAATGATGGGTGGGTAGATAGATGGGTAGGTGGATGATGGAAAGAGTAGGGAAGAAAAATGGGAATGAGGGATCAGAGAGGGAGGAAAAGAGAGAGACAAAGAAATAGAGAATGATATAGTTTTAAGGGAACTCTTGGCCTCACTACAGCCCGAAATATTCCCAGCTTTAAGAATAGCTGATGTCATAAATGATAAGCACAAACAGCCACTGATATCAAAGTGTCTAATAAATGCTTTTCCCAGCTTAGCTGCTGCTACCTCCCAGGGCAGCTGAACTTCCCTCCCAAGGCATGGCCTCTCTGGTTTTTCCCCCTGCTGAACCAATTACAGGCCATGATAGCAGTGCCATGATTATTTTTTTAAAGGCTGATGTTTGTCACTAAATGCCCATTAAGCTGGTCTCCTTGCTCCAGTTACAGCAAGCAAGTGAAAGCACAAATCCAGATGGCACAAACAGTGCCCCTCCAGGCTTGGTCTGCAGGAGGCCAGTCAGCAAATAAGCATTATCAGTTTGAGATGCCTGACACCCACAGGTGCCTCCAGGTGAGAAGAGAGAGCTGAAAGCAAACCATCTTCAAGGGCTGCATCTGGGCCTGTATCAGAACAGTTAGCAACAGACACATGGATTGCTTGGCAACCTGGTAACAGGCTGTGCCTGGTGTTTAGAAGCAGGGGAGAGGACCGCGGCTCCTTCCACACAGCCCGCCCCTCAGCCCCACCACTGAACACTGGGTTGCCTGAGAAGAGCCAGAAATCTCCCAAAGCTGCCCGGAAAAGGCCCACTGAGCAGCTAGGGAGATAACTGAGCCTGTAAAGTGCTTGCTTTGCAACCATGAGTTCAAGCCCCAGAACTTACATAAAAAAGCTGGACATTGTGGTGTGTGCTTGCAATCTGAATGTGGGGAGACAGAAAGAGACAGATCCCTGGGGTTCTCTGGTCACCCTGCCTAGTCCACTTGGTGGGTTCCAGATCAGTAAGAGAATCACCCTCTGGTCTCAAAAGAAACAAAAGGTACACAGTGCCTGAAGAATGATGGCAAAGGTGCCTTCTGGCTTCCAGGACACATGCATCTATATTTCAGTGTGTGTGTGTGTGTGTGTGTGTGTGTGTGTGTGTGTGTGTGTTTGCCAGTTTTTACCTTGCTAGATTGACCGCCAACAATGCCAACCACCCCTGAATGCCCAACTCTTTCAGCTTAAAAGACAAGGAAGCAGAGCCAGGCTAACTTTTCTACCCTACACAAACTCTGAGGTAGGCCTGCAAAATCCTCAAAAGGCACACAGGAGTTGAGCAAAGAAAACTGCTAGTAAGAATCCACAGAGGACCTGTGTACCTGCATGCTCAGGACCTGGCAGGAAAACGGCAAGTTTGACAGAAGGCAGCCCTTGACTACAATCCTGTGGGGAAGAGTGGCAGCAAGGCCGCCGCCACCATAGGCTGAGTAGGAATGAGATGTGTTATGGGCAGCAGATGACAGCTGTGGTGTCTAAGCCTCTACAGTTTGAGATCCTATTAGATGAATTTTATTTCCTGATTATATTTCATCTGGGAAGCTATGGAAGGCAGAGAGGATAGACCAGAGAGAAGGCATCCAAGGCTTTTCCTGGATAATGCATCCAGGGCAGAATCTAAACAGAGACCTCTGAACTCGGGCTGCACAGAGTTCCAAGCACAGGCTGGACCCCTCTGAGATAGAGGAGGTGTCAGCTAATGCCTTTGGAGAGACCCTTCCCTCTAACTCAGCAGGAAAGGTATCACTTAGCTGTTGTCTTTAAAGTGTTCTGGCTCCACATAAACAATTCGAGTGACAGACGTGTGCACTGTTTCTCCAGATGATTCAGAAAATCAATAATCACACAAATGAGGAGGGCACTCAGGGTTCATCAGGGATGGGGAGATGGGGACCAAAGCCCAGCCTTTCTAGCTTATATCAGCCCCATCCAATCCATTCACCCAAGCTAGAAAAGCAACAAAGCTGTTACGGCTTCCTGGACAGTGGGCAAGTTTGTATGAACAAATGAGAGAAAAGACCATGGGCATAAGCCACCGTGAGTACTGGGGTGAGCAGCCTGGCAGAGCAGAGCGCTTGGCATTCCCTCCTCTCCTACCAGCCCTGGGTCTGGACCCTCTGGCCCAGCTCGGCATCTGCAGCAGAAAGCTTGCCTGAAAGAAGCCCAGTGCTACCTATCCGGATGGAAAGTTCCCTCTCGGGGAAGAGCTGTGTGGTGGGGCCCTCAGGATCAGACTTCTTCAACAATGCAGGGTCCAAGTTCAGTGCCAGGGCCGTCTGGGGGTCTTCTGCAGCACCCTGAAACAAGAAACAGGAGTATAAGCACAGCACTTCCATGTCCTTGGGACTCCCCACCCGCAGGACCCACAGATGTCCTGCTAAGAGCACCAGACATGACCCAGCTCTCACAGGTTAGACTGTGAGGAAGATGACAAGCTTTAGGAAAATATGACTTTGAAGGTTCCAAAACCCAAGATCTAAAAGCTGTCACCAACCTCCCAATGTCAACTCCCCCCCCTACAACAGTTTGTCCCTGCTGGATACCTGGCACAATGGACATAGATCCTGACCTACAGAAGTAAGCCCCTGGAGCCACTCCTCCATCCCACGTGTAGCCGCCTGTGCTGGTCACTGTGACAGAATGCCAGAGAAACAAGGCTGATTTTGCTGACTATTTCAGGTGAGTCAGTCTATGAGGGTGGAGAGGGCATGGCAGAGCAGTGCAGTTCACCTCACAGCAGCCAGGAAGCAAAGAAAAGAAACAGCCTGTGCTTACCCACCTCTTTCTTTTTTTTCTCCACTTATGCCGTCTAGCCCCTAAGCTGAGGTGGTCCTGCCCACATACAGAAGGGATCTTCCCACCCCAGTTAATCTTCTCCCAAAAATGCCCTCACAGACACACCACAAACAAGCCTCACAAGCATGCTGGGTTACAACAAATCCAGTCAGAGGCCAGAGGCATCAGATACCCATGGAGTTGGAATTACAGCTAGTTGTGAGTGGGTGCTGAGCATCAAAGTCAGGTCCTCTGCAAGAGCAGTGTGTGTGCTCTTAACCACTGAGCCATCTCTCTAGCCCCATCCATTAATTTGAATTCAGCCTCCCACAAAGTTTAAGGACACAGGTAAAATGTAGACAAGTGCCTTTCTATGTTATAATATGAATATAATACAATCTATAGTCCAACTCTCAGTGGAGTGCTTCTCCCCATCAGGAAGATGATGAACAATTCTTAACTGTCTGAGTTTCTTGTGGAATTCTGGTCTCCTGAGCTTCCAGGAGAATCACCATTAAGTTCTGCCTGCAGTTTCTAGGGCATCCACGGCCCACATCTCTAAATGCTTCCAAATTGTTCCCACACACCAGTTCTAAGGGCTTGAGAAATGTATAATCAAGGTAGTCACACCAATCTTCCAGTCCTGGTAACAGTTTTCTGCATTTGTCACTTCTGTATCGCTATAACCAAAACACCTGGCAGAGGAACAGAGGGGAAGGAAGAATTTATCTCACAGTTTCGATGGACTTTTAGCCCATCACAGTGGGGAAGGGCATGGCAGGGGACAGCAGTTCATAGAATAGCAGTCCAAGAGGCCAAAAAGGTATTCAAACTAAAACAATTCTTGGGGAAGTTTCTTTCATGCAAGTATTTCAGGAAAAGAGTGCCAGACTGTACCTTACATGCACACGCACACACACACATCTTTATGTTTTCTTGTGGTCATGATGATCACAAAGACATCAAGGACAAAGAAGAAAACCTAAAGATTCAGATATTTTCTTTCCAATTAAATATTAAGCATGAATACTTTGGGTATTTAACATCTTGGGTTTTTGTTTGTTTTTTTCATGCATCTATAGTGTCTTAATTCTTTGTACATAAAACCCTCTATGGAGTACTTTCATAACAGTACCAATGCCCCATTTTATCTTGTTTGAAAAGGGGGGAAGAAACCCCATCCTTTTTTTGGCCAGCTCCACCCAGTCCCCAGCTTCTGAATCCTGGAATCCCCCTCAGCCACACTGAGTGGCATCTGGCTCTTGCCATCATGGTCAAGGCTGGCACCACAGATGGACAGAATCCTGGGTGGAGGAGAGGCTCTGAGCAAGCCAGTCCACACCTCTGCAGAAGGCCCCTCTCAGCTCCTCTCGGGTGACAGCTGGTGCCTGTGTGATGAGCCGTGGGCCACAGCATCGCAGCTCTTTGTTTGTTTATGTGCTTTAATTATTTCTAATTCTACATCTCCCGCTGATATCTGACAGCTCACTGCAGCAATAAAAGGCGTGCCTCGCCATGGAAGGGTAACAGCTGACTTCCCGAAGAGCTGGGAGAAAGATGGAGGTGGCGGGAATCACTTCATGACAGGGGAAATGCCACTGTGTCCATGTGCACCAAGCTGAGGCTGCTCATCCAATGGAAGCCCTTCGGGACGGCGCAAGTTGGAGATGGTTAGGGCGATTTAGGACAGCGGTTTTACTCTCCCCTCCCCAGGCCTCAGAACACTGAGAAATAAACATCTTCAGCTGTTCCAGTGGGCGTAGGTGGTTCTTCTGGTGTTCCTCAATATCTGATCAGGTATAGGACAGCCACAGAGCAAATGACAATTAAATGACAACATCACTAATGTGGAGAAGCCCTGCTTTTGAAAGATTTAGGCTGACGGGGACCTCACAGCTCTGTGTTATTACAGATTAATGCTAGGAACTCTTGAGATCTTGTTACTACCAAGAAAAGAATTCTGTCACTTTTCTCTAGCATGACTGCTGTCTGCCTGCCCTCACGATTCAATACATTTTTAATTAAGCATCAACTGTCGACCAGAGCTCTGCAGTTCCTCGAGATAGAAAAGAGCCAATCCCCGTATCTGCACATACTGTCCCTTCTCCTTTGAGAGACCATAACAAACCAATCAATGACAGACTGAACAATTAGAGCCCCGAATAGTGATGTTGTTTGGAAGAAAGGAACAGGGAAGGCGGCTTGGTGGATGAAGTGTTTACTGTGTAAGTGTGAGGAATTGAGTTTGGACCCCCAAGCACCCACGTAAGAGCCAGAGTGGTGGTGCCTGTGACACAGCTCTGGGAAGGTGGAGACAAGAGGATCCCTGAAGCCTACTGGTCAACCCGCTTAGAGAACTGGGGAGCCCCAGCTAAGAGTCTGTGCTTGAGAAAACAAGGCAAAGAATGATCAGACAGACATCTGGCATCAGCCTGTGGCCTCCACACACACATGCACACATGTTTTCACCCACATGTAGATACACACACGTGCCACAGAAAAAGTCAGTCCATGCATAAACAAATGGAGAAAACTATGTCACAGCCAAGGGTTACAGCCACCCCTGTTCCCAGCTTTGTGCTGGGTATGTTCAGTGATTCGCAAAAGCTTCACCATTATTAAACACAGAGTTGTGTGTGTCCTTGGGCTACTGTGTGGATGTATCCTCTCTGCAAAGATGGCATTTAAGGAAAAAAAAATTGTGGTGACCCCTCAGCCCTCAGATCCCTCTACCACTCTATCACCCCAGATTCTGGGAGCTAGGTTGCTTCATATCCACATTTTAGAAAGCAGGGAAAAGTACATTAGGAAGACCCTACCCCAACTGCACTCAGAAGCTGTCCATTGGGGGCCAGAATGATGGCTTTATGGGGTGCAAGCCTGAAGACCTAAGTTTGACCCCCAGATTCGGCAGTAGAGGGAGTTTGTCCTGAAAGTTGTCCTCCATGCATTGCCGTTTGCATGGGCTCCTCTGTATGCTCTCTCTGTCTCTGTCTGTCTCCCTCTGTATATCTATCTCTCTGTATCTCTGTATCTCTGTTTATCTCTGTGTCTCTCTCTAATCTATCTCTGTATCTTGCTGCATCTCTCTGTATCTCCCTGTGTATATCTCTGTATCTCTGTATATATCTCTCTGTATCTCTGTGTATATCTCTCTGCATCTCTCTCTATATATATATATTTTTATATATCTATATATATCTGAATCTCTCTTCTCTCTCGGTCTCTCTCATACACATACATACACACACAACTAAGTAAACCTTTTTCCTTAAAATGAGCCCCCTCTTTAGATGTTACTTATCACATTTTTACGTGCACGCATGCATGTTTGTGTACTATGTATACCACATGAGCGCTGGTTCCTACAGAGGTCAGAAGAGGGCATCTTAAGTACCCTGGGCACTGGAGTTATGAGTAATCTTGAGCTACTATGTGGTGCTGGGAACTGAACCTGGGTCCTCTGCAAGAGCAACAAGTGTTCTTAACCACAAAGCCATATTTCCATCTTCAGGAGGAGAGATGGAGGAGGACCAGGTTACCTCACCTGTGTCCATGCCAACCTGTCCCCACTACCATGTGCTTCATCACACATTTACCCGTCAGAAGGCTGAGGCCTTTATCTACTGTAGCACATTGACCATAGCCAAGCTATGCCTGTCAATATAAGAATGGAGGGAGAAAAATTTGATGTAGATACAATTTGGCCACATGAAGAATGAAATGTTGTCACGATAGGATGGCTGAGAACGGAGGGCTTGGGTTAGCTGAGATCATCCGGATACACAGAACGGCAGGCACCACAGGCTCTTTCTGGTTCAAGGTGGCTCTTGATGTGGGGTAACAACACTGCAGTTCTGGGGAGCCCTGTTTCACTGGCAGAGCTGGTGTCCAGATGAGAGTGATAGAGTTCTGCATACAGATGCCCCCAATAATCACAGCCTCAGCGTGTGCAGGAGGCTTCAGGAACACAGAGCAAAAGTCCTTCATGCCTTTCTTATGATGCTGTGGTAGCTGTCTGGACATGGCATCTTCCTTCTATTCTAGGGCTAACTAATTCTAACCTCCAGTGATTTTCCACTCACACTTCCTCCTCAAAACCTGGTGGCCCCATTAGATGGACAAAGGGAGCATATATTTCTCCAGGACACATATGTGACTGGTGCCAGCTGTTCTCTGACTTTCTGCCACAGCCCTGAGAGTGCCTGGTTGATCATTACAGAAGTGAGTCATCTTCCTCCCTGTTCCCACCTCAAGGGCTTTGGACAACTCAGGCTTGCTGTATCACCTCACGGCTTCTAAATGGAGATGTGCAAAATACACAGGCTCCTTCACAAACTGCGAGAGAATGTTTCACTTCCTTCTCACTCCCCTCCAACCTTTTGCCCTGCCCTTCCTCTCCCAGTTCCACCCACGGCTCCTAACTCAGCTCTCTACAGTAAGCCAAGAGTAGGCTGCTGGAGGTGGGAGGCAACACCCATCCAAGGCTCCAGAGTTGGAGATCAATGCTCGTGCACTGGAA